AGAAGAAGAAGAAGAGAGAGAGAGAAAGAGAGAGATGATGAACATGACGGACTTTCGGTTTCGCTGTTGACACCTCGTCTAGTCGAGTCTAGCTTAAACTTGATGTTGTTACAATAGAGTGGTCTCTTCGGTGAAGTGTACAGTAAGGAGGCAAGCTCAGCATTCGCCATATTCGCCCAGGATCATTCTGTGGAAGTACCCTTCCATGACCAAGGCATGGTTGCAGTGGTTGCAGTGGTTGCAGTGTAGAATTCCTGGCCATGGCTTGTTTCGACTAACAATTGCAGGTTGCGACGCTCACAGGGCACACATACCGAGCTGCTTGGATGTTAGCTGGAGATTTTGTTATGGGTGAGACTTAGAAATGGAACGAGCATGAGCGGTTTCGTGTAGGGACAACAGCTTTGATGAATGTGATGTGCAAAAGGGGCATTTTGTGAAGAGCTGTTCAGTTCCCGTTTGTTTGCAGCGACGCTAAGGCTTTTGCTTTGTTTTGTTTTGGAAATTTGCAGGTCCTTTACTTGGCAATCTCACCAGATGGTCAAACGGTGGCCCGGAGCTCAGGAGGGCGAGGGACTGAGGATGAGTGTGTTGTATAGTGTTGTTGTTGAAGCGAATCTTTGGACAGAGCTCTTGGAAAGAACGTGCGAGATGTAGTCGTCACAGCTTTCTTTTTTCACTGCAATGAGGTGACAGGCGCCGGAGACGAAACACTGCGTTTTTGGAACGTGTTTCCAAGCACAAAATCCAGGTCGCATCCTAAGTGCAGCTTTGGATTGCCAGTGAGGTCATTTTTGTTTCAAATCGGCTCCGCAGCCAGCGGACCGTCCTCAAGCTTGACATACTTCGAGTGATTGTCACTTGATATGAAGGTCTGGGTCGAGCTTGTCCTTCTCACTTCCCCTCGGCCGCACTATCCGCTGACTGCATAGCATAATAGTTTTTTTGGCAACAAATTCGCCTCAGCCCGTCAGAACTGGCCTTGCAGATGCAACTCGTGCTTTGTTTGATAGCTGGTGAGACTCGAAGTTCTTCAACGCAAGGAAGATGATGCTAGATGAACAGTTCGTGATGTCAAAGCTCACAGTGCTGAGACCTATGTATGTCAGTTTGAACATAGACACTTGGCTTTCGTCAGTACCCTGACTTGTTAGTATTTCTGCTTGCGGAGTTGACATCCATGCTTCGGGCAAGGCGCTGCAAATTCAGACTAGAACTACGCCATTGCTGCACATAGGAGCTCGAAAGAGCTTGCGTAGGCTCGTGTCGACGCAGAGCATCGGCCATGTCATCGAAGTTAATTCCTGCGGTCGAAAACCTTGCGACTTTGACGTGACAGCATTGGCTCGCGATGCCCGCAACCTGACAAAACTTCGAATCGCTTCTGTCAAGCTTTCATGGGAGACCACCCATACTTCCGGCCAGCGACTCAGCAGAACGGGACAAGTTAACAATGTCAGATGCGGCTCTACGTGCGTCATTTGTAAATTGATTGACAAGTTCTGATTCAGATTTCTTGGCCTTGCTAGAGCCCGATGCTCTTGAGGGCTGTTGGGGAATTGGTTGGTTTCCTGTTGAATCTCAAAGGACTTGGCAATGCTTTGGCAATTAAAGAATCTTGAGGTAGCAGAATGTTCCTCCTGCGCAGTTTCACGATCCTCCTGCTGATTCCTGTCCAGGCTGATCTTTCGTTTCCATGCAGGATCTGAGGCTTGCAGTCTGAGATGGAAGTTGCAGGTCGCCTTGGCATTTTCTTGGTTGCCAAAGGCAGGTGCCACCAAGTAACAAGCATTCCAAAGCTTGCCTCGCCTACACATTACGCCTCGTAATGGCCACGAATAGAACAAGTGAGTGCCCTGTGTGCAAGTCAGCAGAGCACCTCTTCACAGCAGCCCTTTGCAGACACTTGCATGCACTTGTATGGCATGTTCGCTGCACCCCGGATGCCTATGCCACTCGAGCTGCAGGCAGTGAGCGTCAACCCGGCAGACTCAAAACCGAAAGCAGATGCCGAGGCATGTTGCCTCAGGGTAGTCTGGCATTTTTTTTGTAAATCTCAGTCGTGTTGGCAGTTCAGAAGCATTGGACAGTTTGATTTGGTAGGTGTTGAGCATGTAGACTGTCGCCGTTGCAGATCTGCGATCTATCCCGCTTTCAAGAGGAGCATGCACAATTTTTTAGGTATTGCTGGTAAAGTGTTGTGTAGATATGTCCCATGGAGCTGCCGGCTTTGGGTGTTGGCCAAACCCCATTGGCTTTTTGCCTCATGATAGCTAGTGTGCTGCGGCTATTATCATGTCATGTGGGACATATTAATGCAGGCGTATTTCTGCGATCAGTGTTACTTGCAGTGACAGATGCTCTCCTTCTGGCATTGTATTTATGAAGCGAAGGTATTCTTGCCTGGTTCAACCACCAAGACAAAGCTACTAGAGTGTACATGGGACCGGAACAGGAAACCTCAGCTCTATCAAGTTAATGCAAGTTTCAGATGCAGGAGTCTTCTCCAAGTTTGATGCGGTTGACAGGATGCGAACCTAAACTCTGACATCCTGGAGCCTGAGCCGATGGATGGCGGCAAACTTAGAGTCAATGATGGTAGTAAGCAAATGAGCGTCAATAGGGCGGTTGTGCAGCATGCCCATTGCATTGCTTGGGTAAACGCTAGAATTGGTTTGCAAGATACGCACTAAGCTGTACGCCTGCAGCATATAAGCTGAAGCAGACATGTGCCACCAACCCTTCGCACATGCTTTGTACTGTCAATTTCTGTTCTCCAGCCAACCAGTCATTAGCTTAGTTGGCTCGGTCTTGGCACTGCTTTTGAGCAGTTTACGGGGGGTTCAGTCAAGGGCCAGCTTCAATGTGCCGCTCCAGAAGCAGCATCTTGAGTTGAACCTTTACACGGTTCAGCGGCTGGATAAACACTCACGTGGGAGTATCGACACAGGAATCCTCAGGCATTCAAGCCTGCGGCTCCAGTCGCTAAGTTCCCAAGCTCGAGCTGACCTGAAAGTGGCTTCCTGAACCCAATCAGAGTGCAGGCGAGGACTCACTCACTGAGACTGTTGCGCACCGAATCGGCGACTTAGCAGACAATGACGATTTCCTCGGAGTCTTTCACAGCTTGCATCACAAGCAGTGATACTGCTTACAAATGCGCATGATGCATTATTTGGTTTCACTGAAAGTCCTCACTTCTTGTATGTATACCTCGCTGCTGCGCGGAGGTTCAGCGACTCAGAAAAAGCAGCAGAGATGTTGCGGTTGGTGTTGCTTGCGAATTCGGGGGTGCAGTGAGAAAATCGCCCCATTCAGAAGTCCAAAAGCCCACGCAACATTTGCTGTCGTTGTTTCAGACTGCTCTACCTTCAGAGCACATGGACCTGAGCTCATACATCGAAGACCATTGCAAGCTAGGCATGTTTCATTGCCCGAGGCCTATTGGGATATGATCGGGACATGGCTTCATGGGCATTAACTGTAATATGTTTTGTTTCCTTGTTGCAAAAAAAGCGCAAGCCGACGCGTTTCAGTGAAGGGACCATGCATATCTAAGTGTGCTTACACCATAACATGCTCTTCATGCCTGGCCACCCTTTTTTAAGTAAACGTGATAGGACTTCAGCCAGCCTCATTGCAAACAACAACTCGATCCCCAGAGCGACACCGACTTGCAATGTTGGGAGAAGCGGCTGGGGGCCTGGAGAACGTCATTTCTTGTGAGCTGCTCAGCTGGGCGGACTTGGCCCTCCATGTGCAGCTGCCAGAGCTGGCTGTTAACGATGACTATTGCGATTGTCTAGATGGTGCTGACGAAGCGATGACGGCAGCCTGCCCCAACAATGTTTTTTCTTGTGCGAACTCTGGCGGGATTCCGCGATTGATAGACAGCTCTTTTGTCAACGATGGTGTTTGCGACTGTTGTGATGGGTCTGACGAGGCATTAGGAACCTGTCGTAGCAACACCTGCCGGCAAGAGCTGTCAGAAATATCTTCCAGGATTGCAAGTTTGCTGTTGCACGAGCGCCATGGAGAGACGTCAAAGCAGAGGATTCTGGAGGAGCTTGCAGACAAAATCGCCTCAACCAAACACATGCTAAAGATTGCGCAGGCTGCAGCATCACCTTTTCTTGAAGCCATGCAAAAGCTCAAAGACAAGCTTGCTGAAATTGCGCGCAAGAGGCAGAAAGAAAAGCAGAGCGGGAAGAAACCGAGGACCCCCACGAGTTCTGAGGTTGCTGAGGGCCCTCAGCGCTCGACTTTGCGGTGCTTCACTGACGGCTCCGACTTCGAAGATTTTCCAGCAAACATGTCTTGCGTAGCTGCTGAGGAATGTCCATACGTTTGTGCCTATCTTTGCACTGACTCGCGCCGATACAATGGGACCTGTGCCCTGGACGTTGGAGGAGCTGACGAGCCGTGGGTCTTTTTCACATTCAGCCCTGATGCGTTAAAATATGAGCGTATGATGGCTGCTTATGGGAAGACGCAAGCAGGTGCAATAGAAGCAGCTGCCATAGAGCATGTTATTCCCAGCGAGGTGTGGACACAGCTTGATGTAAAATGGCTAGAGCTTCGGCAAAGGCTGTCACGAATACAGCGCAAGGCCGCTGAAGCTCTTGAAGCCCTTGCTCGAGCAGAAGCTGATGAGCAGTTAATGAAATTAGTTGACTCTGGCCAGCTTGGCCCACAAGGAGTCTATCATGGCTTGCATGGGCAATGCTTAAACTTGACGCAAATCCAGTATGTTGGCACCACTGCGCTGCGCGAACAGTGGCGCAAGTTTGTGTACAACATATGCTTCTTCGCAAATGCCACGCAGTTAGAGCTGAAGCCTGAAGTGGAAGCAGGAGCAATGTGTGATGAGTCTGGGGAGTGCTCCACACTACAAGAAGCAGCATCAGATATCATTTACCTTGGTAGGCCGGCTGGCTTCCTGCACACGAGAAGTGACCCAAAACGATACGGTCTGCAAGAACTGTTCTTTGAACCATCTGAGAACACGCTTCTCTTCGCAGGAGGAGCTTCTTGCGGCCACGTTGCAAGAGCTGTAGCAGTTGAGTTTGTCTGCGGGGAGTTGCAGCTGAATCGTGTTCTTGAAGTGAAAATGTGCTGCTATGTTGCGGAGGTGTCCCACCCTGGTGCATGTAACCTGGAACAATGGCCAAGGGGGCTGAGGGAGTTGGACACGGCCAGTAAAGAATTGCATGTTTCGGAAGTGAGCAGCTGGATGCTGCGAAATTCTCGGTACCTGCAACAAGAGGGAGTGACCGATTGGAAGCTTTTGCTTGCAACAGGCCGATCCACTCAGAAGTGGCTCAACCGTGTGGATCAGAGCGCTATCCCTCCACTGGTCACGCTCGAAGCTTTGAAGGACTCCCTCTTATCAACCGTGCTACTAATAAAGGCAGTTGTCGTGCTGCTGCTTGGTGCGGTATCTGACTGTATCCCACTCACCGTTCTGGAAGTCAGGTTACAGGCATGGGAGAAACTGATCCAACTTGCTGGCACTGTGGAACTTCCTTTGCACATGGTACCGTCAACATTCTTTTTGCTGGAAGCAGCGGATCATGCAGTCAAATGGAGTGCTGATGCTTGGAGATCAATCGACAACACTACAGCCGCGATCTACGAAATGCCAAACTTTTTGCTGCCAATGCTGGAAAGGTTTGAGCAACAGAGGTCAGCAAGACGAAGCTATTCTGTATCCACTCAGGGCAGCGATGTGATGCTTCTATTTGCATTCTTGGCCACGGTTCATGTTCTTCTTCTGTATTTGATGCAGAAGATTTTCTCAGCTTGGTGCTCTTTCGCACGAGGCTTGTGTCGACCTTGCTGCTGTTGCAAGTGCCACCGCCCCTGTCAGCTGAAGACCGACGGCTCAGTCCTTGACGAAGAGAGCTCGCAAGAAAGGCAAGAGG